AGACCCATCTGAGCAGGGATTCGCGAGATGCGGCTGCGAAGGGCCCGTTTCCATGGCAACTCCCCAAATCCACTTGGTGCTGAAGGTTTTTTTTTTTTTTCCCCTCCCTCTTTGCTGAGTGCGAGCCCTTGGCTAATGAGCTGTGCAAATAGATATTGAGATTTAGTGTTTTTTATTTTGCAATTATAGACTTAGTGATTTGGAAGGAAACTTTTGGGCCAAAGGCTCTGCCTCCTCTTTGAATTTTCTTTTTTTTTTTTTTTTCCGTTGGCAAAGTTGGTTTAACTTCAAACTTGCTGTTGAATTTTCCAGACAGAATTAAAACAAAAAACACCAATAAAACTTTGGAGGCTTTTTGCCACCCACTCAGGCTAAATCCCAGCCCAATGTACAGTCAACTGTTTGCCGTTGACCGACTCTTCTCTTGTTTGCTTATCAATCATAAAACCCACAGTCATGGACTCCTCTGAATCAACACCGACGAATCCAACACTAACTTGGTGTTTAACAAAGGTCCATCTATATGTCCCCTATTTATTTGTCTTCGGTCATTAATTGCAGGCCAGTGAGGACGTTGGGGGTGACGCAGTTAATTAGGCACCGCTCAACCCCAGGTGAGAATCGTGGTTTTCTCGAGCGACTTCCATGGATTTTGTGTTCGCTCCTGGCTGTCAGCACGTGGCAAAAGCCTCCACCGTTGCCTGGGCCCAGTTAATCTTGGTTCCTGCCTTCAATACTGGTCTGTACTGGCTGCTACAAGGGAGCATTTAGCAATTCTCTGCCTGTCCTGAAGGAAACTCAGGGTTTAGCTGCAGTTTTTGGATGGGCTCTTTGGGTTGGGATGCATTGTAACATCCAAGGGCTCCTGAGCCTGAGGACTAGTGATCCCGAAGCTGAACATGGGGATATTTCAGCTGATAATTTCCTCTCAATGATTTGTTGCCATTGATTTTTAACCGCCTCCTGCTTGCTGACCAGCTTTCCATCTAGGTGGTTATCCTGGGGTGGATGCCTATACCCTGAATTTTTGCTTACTAGCCTCTTTTGAAAAGTCAAGCTGAAGCCCAAATAAATCTTCTCTGCCGTGCCTTGCCTTTTCTCCATCTACTTTCTTATATTCCTGCTCGAAAAAATGCAATAAAATTAGTCTGGCACAAGATCTATTTCATGTGATCCATGCTGACAATTGCTCAGTTCCCCATTTTCTTTGAAATAGTTGCTCATTTCGTTCCCGTCGTTATAAATGATCCCCAGCTGTTTCCAAGGTGCCGGAAGGTTCGGTGACATTCCTGAAGTGCAGAGGGAAGCGTGTCCGAGGGGCACCGAGGGCCTGGGAGCCACTGAGGAGATGGGCTGTGACCTGGAGCAGGGGAACGAGGAGGCAGAGACCAGGGGGACCGCGGTGATGGAGGGTGGTTCGCTTCCCTCCACGGCTACGCTTGGTTGGGACATCGGTCCATGCCTGTTGCTGGCTGCTTCACCGGGCTGCAGCATCTGCACAGCACCAGAAAGGTCCTGGGATGGAGGCAGTGCCAACATATCCAGCCTCCATCAGCCAGAGCCTGGAGCCAAGGGGCCGAGCTCGCTCCCGTCCTCCCACGGGGGACTGGACCGCGGGGTAGATCCGGCTGGTACCTTTGATTAAGGGTACCCTGGAAGAGGGTTTGGGGGAGCACCCGTGTGGATCACGATGTGAGAAAGCAGGGATGCTTTCAAGATGCTCTTGACCCCAGAAAAAGGTGACGGTTTAGATAGGGGCAGCATTATTCTCCCGTCGGAGCGCGAAAGCAGAGTGGCTCCCAACCAGCTCTTTGTTTTTCCACGTTTTTTCCAACAGACCCGCAAACGCCGTTCGTGCCGTTCGCCCCAGCAGCCCCGTCCTGGACCCGCCTGGCCGTGGCAGAACTTGGCAGCGGGTGGGATTTCCAAAAGCTTTCCGCATTTCCCCGAGACCGTCTCGCTTTGAAGCCGGCGGGAGGGGTTGTTTGTCTCTTTCTGATTGTTGGATTTTTATTTTTTTTTCCCCTCATTAGCTTCAATGGAAAAAGAGCGCGGCCGCCACGGAGGGCTTTGGGAAATCACAGCCGATCGTGCTCCGGTTTGAGATGTGTTTGGGTGTTCCCTGCGAAGTCCCCGGGAGCAGAACCGACTCTTGGCACGTTTGAGGCTGGCGAATAAGCGGGGAGGCTGGGGAATTCGCTGGAACCATCGTGCCTCCGTGCTCCATCCCTTGGAACAGGCGGGTGATGTGACAGCGTGGGCACCGACGCGGCCCCCGGGGCGTGTT